CCAGAGACATGTTGCTATGATACATCATCGTCTGTGAATTCACTGGCGGTAATTCTGTCTGCTTGAATAACAAGCTGGTTGTTGAATAACATGTTACTTGTTGACAATGAAGTTTTCTCATCTATAGGGTATGCTGTTTATTCTGCCTGCTCTGTTTGGTTTAACCTGACCGTTAAACCCTTGTCTTTGCTTTTATAGAATTTCGAAGTGAAAGCCGATGACCTGGAACCGTTATCGGAGCTGGGCCGCGGTGCGTATGGGGTTGTGGAGAAGATGCGACACACACCCAGTGGTACGCTAATGGCTGTCAAGGTAAAGCCAGCTCTCTGAATGAGTCAGTGATTCACTGAAGGGAACGGATGGGGCTCTGGCAACTTTTGACCAGTGTGTAATAGTTTAATCTCTGTCATGAGCTCCAGCAACGATGAAGCAATTTTAATTTGTCCTCTGTCCTCCATGGAGGATGACCACAGTCTATGCCACTCGCTGTGTACCAGGTTCTTGAGGTATGGAGACCCAGAGTGTAAATGTAACCTCATGGGTAGGGGTCCAAGTGAGACCGAGAACGTTCCTCAGAGTCATGGTCCATGTAGAATCTTAAAGAACGCTAGAAGTTGGAGAGATGGATTGCCTCCTAGTGGCTGAAACTTTAATGGAAAAAATAGTCCTGAGAACAATAACAGGGAGGAAAAGACCAGATGGTCCATCACTTTCCATTCAATTTGACGTTGTCCCACCACTTACTTAAACTGAAAAATTTAATTGTAGTTGAAGACAGATTAAGATGTAGGTGGATAAGTGAACAGGTTACAATGGAATGCATAGTGCCTTCTCAATGCAGGGGAAAGAGTTGGTTTGTTTAAGCAAGACAACCAAAGAGAAACTGAGTCATCCCTTTTGCACAATATTGTTTGCTTTGTGCATTGTTTTCACCTGATTCAGTAAACGATCCTTTGCGCTCATTGACAGTTTTAAACATAATTATTAGCATAAACGTTTGCTCATACATATACATTGTGCAGGATGTGGAAACAATTGGTGTGGCTACACTAGGTGCCATTGGACTCTAATTCGTTCTCTCTCATAGAAAATCGACTTCCATACCTCATTGTTGTTTATCAGCTCACACTTCATTCCAGAGATTTTTTTCGCCCTTTTCTGTTTCTCTGTATCCTTTCGTAAAATGTTATTGCTTTTAGTTGCAATCACAAGACCAATTTTTCACATTCCATTCCTCAATTTTGTCTTGCAAGAGGCAGCTCATAAAGTGTTATTTATAGAAGGCGAAGGTAATTCAATAAGTGATTGGTTTACTACAAATGAAGGGAGTCTGGAGACTGCATTTCTAATTTAAGACAGCTGGTCTGAGTGGAAATTATGCAAGTTATGCAGTGACATGGTAGTTTTTCTGATGTCCTATACTTTGGTCCAGCGTTAACCCTACAACATACATGTTGGAATGGCCTGTTTTGATTATGCTTTTTATCTGTACAAATGTATGTTTAACCTGGAATAAGTTTATATTTACTTGACTCACACAATGGCCTTTTGAGCACCTACTTCTGGAATTTTAATTTAACTGTCTGCCCAGTCCATCATTTAGTTAGTATTTGGGGAAAGAGGCGCAGGTATTATCGTGAATTTTGATTTGCTGCGGGTGTCAATGCTTGATGTATTTGATCCAACAATGCCTCTAATTGAAAATGTTCAGCGTTGAGTTTGAATCCCTCTGTGGCTTTGCCCCTCTGTATCTCTGGAACTGCCTTCTGGTCTATAAATGTTCCATAACGCTGCCTTTCTCCTCTGCCTAGCTTCTGGGACATCACTCATTTAATTTGTCTCCATCGTCAGTGAGTATGACTTCCATCTGCTGGGCCTCCAAGCCTTTTAAATCCAACACCTTCCCTCTCACAAAAAACCTTTCTGTCTCCCTTTCGTCCTTTTTGAGGTGCTCCTTAAAATACTACCTCTTTGACCAAGCTTTTTACCAGACAGTGTCTTGCCTCTTCCTTTATTGTGGTGTGTTATTTGTGTTATTCCACCAGCACCATGCAATACATTACTGTCCAACCCCAGCAAGCACTAGCTGACTAATCCTGTGAGAATTGCTGGCGTTCTTTCTTCAACAGGTTTTCTTCAACCTGATTTACTTTTATCCTAATATTGTGAAATGGAAGCCTTCAACTCCCTCCCTGACGGAACTGTGAGTGATCTTACCCACCAAGAGTTATAATGTCATAGAGATATACAGCACAGAAACAAACTCTTCGGTTTAACACATCCATGCCGACCAGATATCTGAAATAAATCTAGTCCCATTTGCCAATGTTTGGCCCATACCCCTCTAAACCCTTCTTATTCATATACCCATCCAGATGCCTTTTAAATGTTGTAATTGTACCAACCTCCACCACCTCTTCTGGCAGCTCATTTCCATACACACACCACCCTCTGTGTGAAATGTTGCCCCTTAAGTCCCTTTCAAATCTTGCCCCTCTCACCTTAAACCTGTGCCTTCTAGTCTTGGACTCCCCTACCCCGGCGAAAAGTCCTTATCTATTTACCCTACCCATGTCCGTTATGATTTTATAAACCTCTATAAGATCACCCCTCAGCTTCCAACGCTCTGGGGAAAATAGCTCCAGTCTATTTGGACTCTCCCTATAGCTCAAAGATTTTTGTAAATCTTTTCTGAACCCATTCAAGTTTCACAATATCCTATAGCAGGGAGAGCAGAATTGCACACAGTATTCCAAAAGTGGCCTAACCAATCTCCTGTACATCTGCATCATGCCCTCCCAACTCCTATGCTCAATACGCTGACCAATAAAGACAGGCATACCAAACGCCTTCTTCACTATCCTGTCCACCTGGGATTCTACTTTTAACGAACTATGAGCCTGGACTCCTTGGTCTCTTCGTTCAGCAACACTCCCCAGGAACTTACCATTAAGTGTATGAGTCCTTCCCTGATTTGCCTTTCCAAAATACAGCACCTCACATTTATCTAAATTAAACTCCATCTGCCACTCCTCAGCCCATTGGCCCAATTTGATCAAGATCCTGTTGTACGCTGAGGTAACCTTCGTCACTGTCCACTACATCTCCAGTTTTGATGTCATCTGCTAACTTACTAACCATACCTCCTACGTTCAAATCCAAATCGTTTTATATAAATGACGAAAAGCAGTTGTCCCGGCATTGATCTGTTGGTTTGCTGACTCAGTTCTGCCCTCAGGCCATTTTTCTGGAGGAGGTATTCCTAGAATCAAAGAATTGTTATGGTGTAGAAGGAGGCCGTTTGGCCCATTATACTATGCTTCAAATGAGCATCAGTACCTGGTGTCTATCTCCTGCTTTTCACCAGGCCCTGCATAGTACTTTTATCCAAATAATCACACAGCACTTCCACCACAGTTCCAAACAGTGCATTCCATACCCTAATTACTTGCTGTGTGAAATTTTTTTTCCTCACTGCATACTTGCTTCTTCTGCTCATCTTTAAATCTGCCTTCTTCTTCCTGTTTCTTTTACAAGTGGCAACAGTTTTTCCATAGAATCCCTGCAGTGTAGAAACAGGCTCTTCGACCCAACAAGTCCACACTGACCCACAGAGCATCCCAACCAGACCCATCCCTCTGTAACCCACCTAATCTACACATCCCTGAACACTACGGGCAATTTAGCATGGCCAGTCCACCTAGCCTACACATCTTAAATTGTGGGAGGAAATCGGAGCACCTGGAGGAAGCTCACACAGACACGGGGAGAATGTGCAAACTCCACACAGACAGTCGCCCGAGGCTGGAAATGAACCCGGGTCCCTGGCGCTGTGAGGCAGCAGTGCTAACAACTGAGCCACCATGCCACCCCAAAGTTTCTCCCTGTCCATTCCATCCAGTCCACTTACGATTTTGAAAACCTCGATCAAATCTCTTCTCAGCCGCCTTCTCTCCATGGAGAACAGTCCCCAGTTTCTTCAATCTGTCCTCATAACTGGAGTTTCTCACTGGCTTGAGACAAGATGAGGTTAGCTGCCCTTAAAGCAGCATGTAGTCTATTCGGCTGGTAAAGGTCTATAGCCAGAAGTTGGAGGAGCTGTTGGGCAAAGTATAAACATTCCTCGATAGCTTGCCTTCAGCTGAGGGTTACTTTTATAGAGGAGATTCATCTCCACAATTATGGCCTAGCAACTGAAACTGTTTTATATTTTAAAGTTAGTAGAAGTGGGAGAGAGGACAACTCCAAATGAGGTGCCATCTTTTTTACCCAGCTGGCAGCCAGTTGCCCCTGGTCTCCAGTTGGCCACCAGTTTTGAGAGTATGCTTGCCATCCTGCTCCTGCCCGCTGGTCATTAACCAGCCAAATCGGAGAAATACAGTTAACAGCCGGGTCACTGTGCCTCAACACTGTGTGGGCTTCTGATCCTCATTTGACCCTGATGATGGATTCCTGATAGTCGCAGGGCAAATGCCCATGAGGTTTCACGTCTGCAAAAGGGCATGGTCAGTGATTATAATTTTAATGTTTGAATGCTCTGAATTTAAATTCCAAGTTAGAAACGAATGCTTGTCTTTCAGGATATCGTCCTTTAATAATGACAACACTGATGGGTTCTATCTTGGGCCTTTAAGATTTCTATATTGTGGTAAATTGTTGTTAATCATTCACAGAATTAGGGGAATACATTACACAACGTCGGTAAAGCCTTTTGTTGAAGTGAGGAGACAAATGGCTGATGCTGCAGGCAAAGTATGCACATTTTCTGTGAAGTCTCGGGTTAATTTTATTCAGATGTACAAACAACTTCAGTCCTGGTATGTGTGAAAATAAATGGGGAGAAGATCTCTTGTTCGCTGCTTCTAATGAAACCTGAAGGTTTCCAAACCCTCTGTTCTAATCTTGCTCCACTCCACTGTTGTGGTCGTGGTCTCAAACAGATCGAGTGTACTGCCAGGGATTTCTGCTTTCAGTCTTATGTCCAGGACCAACTCTCGGCATTTTCACCAGCTACATTTACTGTGCATTCCTCTGTCAAATCTTATTGGTCACTGTCCTAGTCATGAGGCCACATTAACTGAATTTCATAAGTAACCAGCATACTCAAAGCCAATTTATAAAAGGCAAAGCAAATCAAATACAGAGAACTTTCTTTTGAAGACACAGGCAAGCTTTAAGAATGAATTGTTGATGCTTTGCAGAAATAATGTCATTTGTAACACATTAAAGCTGGTGGTTTTTAACTGTTTGATACAACCTGCCATTTGTAGCCTTGATCTTGTTCCTTTAAACTGATACCTCAGAGGATGTCA